TTTGTAAAATATTTTCATTTTGTAAAATGTTGAAATTGTGTTCTGATTTTATTATATAATTATATATTCTGTATTAAATTAGCATAAACAAATTAACTCATTATTTTTGCAATATTATCTAAAAAAAATTTTAATTTAAGGTAAGTAATGTGATTTTTTTTACATTTAGTTATTGTATGGTATTTTTGTTCTTTCTTTGTACATTTGCGTTTATAGAAATAAGTGAATAATTGTAAGATGCTTCCTCATATTATATATACTGTACTACTGACTACTGTACTGATGCGGCATTCACCCTGGGTGGATTGAGCCGGCTTCTTCCTGTTATGAGAAGAAGATTCTTGGGATAAATTACAGAAGTAGGGTACCCAGGCCTACTCGGATAACGTTCTTGCTTGCCGTGGGGTTCCCACAGACGCAGAGACAGGAACGACCAGAAGCCGCCGGTTACCGATGCAGACGCTCCTTGGATTTTCACCAGAGCCCTTGTTTCCGGCGTGTGTGTCAGACCTGTCCACCTTGGGTGGCCCTACCAGGAACGAAGTTCCGGGCGGCATAGCTCTGACACTACCGTTTACACCCCCCCCCGACTGTGAGGTAAGGGTTGGACTTTGGAGGCTTACAGTACCAGGTGTTCCCAAGCGGTCCCCCATCTAAGTACTGACCTGGCTCTACGATGCTTAACTTCGGTGATCGAACGAGAACCGGTATTTCAGCGTGATTTAACCGTAAGCCATTATATATAGTTGTTAATTAACTAATTACCGGACATTAATAACAAGATCCATGCTAAAAATGCTCTTGGGAATTGTTATTTAGTAGTAATTTAGCCTTCCACATGTCCGTTCCCAGTCATGGACCCCCCCCAGTCGCATGTGAGGGCCTGGTATAAGCATCGCCATGACTCTCCACCATCCACTGTTTATGAATGTTGAATGTTAGAATCACTTGACCTAAAAAAAAAAAGTCCTGCATTCCAAAAGTCATTGTTTTGAGTTAAAAAAAAATTTGCAGCAGGAACAATTTCTCTTAGAAATGTAGGCAGCTTGGCATTGTAGACTATTTTTATTAGTATTTTTTTCATGCTTATCTGTCCTTGAAGGATATGACTATTTCTTAATTGTAACAAAACTCTAGTGAATTTTCTTTCTTTTTCTCTATCAATAAAACTATGTAACATTTGTTTAAAATTAAATTAGAAACAAGTACCATTTTTGATAAGAGGTGCATGTCTAATTACAATACTAACAATTGTTAACCAAAGCACAGATAAGCATGTTAATTGATTGTTAATCAGAGAGCCGAGTTCCAATCCACTTTATGTTTCTTATGTTCACTTATGCACAAATACACTTGGGGAAAGATATAAATCCAACTCTTCTCTTTCCAGCTATGGGTTAATTAGTAAGGGTTGTATCACTAAACCATTATCTCAACAACAAAAAAAAATTTCTTACAATCTAAAAATATTTTCTGGCTTAAAATAACTTACAAAGGGTTAATAAGTGACAGAAAATGAATGAATGACTTTTTCTCTTTCTCTCTTTTTAAATAGCTGATACAATTTTACCTTACAATATAAAATCAATCCCCATTTTTTTTTTTTTTTTTTTTTTTTTTTTTACCCTTATGAGATCATAATGGTCCAAATATCAAAAACATTTCTTCTTCCCCCCCCATTAAATATGTTCTGTAGTCTCAAAGATGGCCAGATAAATGCCTTAAGGCAATTAAAACTCTGAAGAAAACGAATCCCCCATACATAGGTAGGCTTATTAAGAACCAAAATGGTAAAACTAGAAGAGAAATAAATACATATAAATGAAACTTGTTAGTCTGAAAATACAAACAAATAAGGGTCACAAGAAATAACAAAAGCAGCCGGAGGCTTGAACATAAAACTAAGACCACTTGTCTAAGAGAAGGTAGCAATTCGCTTACATGAATATGTATAAGTTTGCTATGAGAATACATTGCAATGTTGTGGTGAGTTTGGAAAAGGAAGGTAGATTACATTTTGCAACAGTTTATGTGGACATGTGTTGAAAGGGTTCTACACAGAGAGATACAAAAACAAACAAAATAAACTTATGAAATAAGGCTACAAATGTTCAAACAATACCACAGAAATAGACAAATGTAGTTAACGAAAGTAACAAACCAATGATGGTTAACCTTGGGGGTGAAATCAGGAGGATAAAACTACTGACCATATGTTTGGTGTTGATGCCTTTATTGTATCAGGTTCTTTGTGCTAAGAGCTAACCGGAAATGATCAAAATGGTGACTAACCTAAAAAAGGGACAAACAAAAGGGAAATAAATAATATGGTTTCTGTATTGTTGTAGTGGACATAGCCTGTGCCCCAAGCATAAGTGACATAAGATTGTCTGTGCTGTGCATAGGAGACTTAATCTGTGTGTGCTGGATGATGTCTGTTATTTTGGCAATATTGTGTAACTATGTTGGAAAGTTTGATATCCAACTTATATCAGAGTTTGATGGCTCAGTGTCTATGCCAAGCATAGTTGAATGGATAGAAAAAGCAGAACTCGTTTGCCAGATTTGCAGAGTGAAGTGACCAGAATATGTGATTCCTCTACGACTGTCTGGTGAGGTGTTTGCCATCTATTAGCAATTAAGTGAAGAAGAAAAAAAGTAGACGTTGAACACATAAAATTGATCCTTTACAGTGTTCATAATGGACAAGTTTGTCATGTATGAGCAATTCTCTGAGTGTGGTGCCTTTGACCAGGGAAATCCATTGATGTGTACCTGGCAGAACTACACAAAATGGCCATATTGTTCGGAGGTATCTATGACCATGTGTTTTTTGTCAAGGCTTGTCAAATCACATGAAATGGCTCCTTCACGCTTATTCTCGGATAGAGGTATTGACCATTGAACAGATGCTCTCTCGCATGATAATGAAAGCTGAGAACTCAGATGAAGTCTTGGCAGTAGCAGCAGCATGAGAAATACACCAAGGGGTTTTAATGACTTAATTTGTCATTGATAAAATGGCTTTAATCACTTTGCCAAAGAGTATAAGTCTGTTCAGCAGACGCAGAAAGCCTTGTATTCGTTGTTATAATTGTGATAAAATAGGCCACATATCCTGAGATTGTCCAAGGAAAAAAGCCAGAGGATGGCAACTCCCAATCAAGATGTAAACTTGGCACTGCCAATGGTAGAAATTACTGTTTGTAGAGGAAGTGCATTGTGCTAGTGGACTCCTGGTGCTCCTGCACCATAGTAAAAAGGTGGGCCAAACATGGGAGAAACAAAGCAGATATCGTAACTATTGGCAGCAGAATGTGGATGTGTGAAGTTAGATCCATCAGCCTTTGTGTAGGAAATGGAAAGGTTGTTGTGATGGCGGCCCTGGTAGTGTTAGAGGACCCTCTTGGATTTGGTCTACTAATTGAAATAGACATGATCAAGGCTCTTGGTGGAATGTCTATTTCAAAGACAGGGGAGGTTCAATTCCCCTAAGAGCCAGTTTCTGTGTACACAGCGGCAACAGTGCTCTCAATTGAAGAACCTGATTTTCAGGTGTAATTTGATCCTCAGCAGAATGAGTGGACTGTGTCCTGAAAATTTGCAGAAGGCAAAATGCAAAACTGCATTGCAGAGTATTCTGTATTGAGGAAAATCAGAGGATTGTATGAGAGAGAATTGCAACAATGGATTGAGAAGGGTTGGCTTATTCCATATGATGAATAGAAGCTTGAACCTCCAAGAGGGATACTCCCGCTGATGGCTGTCATGCAGTAAAAGTTGAAAGTGCATCCTGTAATGGACTAAAGTGAACTCAACCTCCATGTTGATGTGTACACTGCAGATGTTGATGTTTACACCTACAAAGAGAATGTAGATGCAAAGGATTAAACGTCGCACTGCTAGATCTCAGATTAGCTTATCTGCAGGTACGCATCGATGAATGACTTTGGCCATACCAAACTGTTATCTTTCAAGGCAGAAGGCACTTCCTGACCAGATTGGGATTTGGGCTGAATGTTGCCCCCACAAATATGAGATCCATTGTTGACACCATATCTCGGGAGGTAACCTGAGCATACATTGACAACCTGTATTAATGAGGATATTGTGTCACTGTACACCTGTCTGGGCTGATAAGCAAAATTTCAGTGTGACTAAAAAATGGAGCTTGGATATTTGGTTTAACTGTCGGGGGAGAGGGAGATAATATTCTACTTTGGAAGCATGGGAATGTCCTTCCTGACATCCCAGAGACAGTTACCAGGAGGAATGTATTCTCTTTTTGCGGAAAGCTTATTGGACACCTCCCAGTCTGTGGTTGGCTAGTGTCATCAAGTAAAGAGCAAGTGCAGTGACGAAAGGTTGACGTGATTGAGCTGACAATGCCTCACTAAAAAGGATGCTGACAGAGACTGTTACCAATGTGAGGCAAAGGGGGTTGTGGACACAGCCTACTATCCCCCCCATCAAAAGCATCATAGGATCACCTGTACTGTGCACAGGTGACTCAGTTTGTGCAGACTGGATGATGTCTCTCATGACTGAAAATTTGTGTGGCGACTTTGCTAGACACCATAAAAGCCAGTATTTATTAACACCGGGGAGTTGAAGAGGAGTGGCCAGTGTGACAGGAGTGAAGGAAAAGAATTATCATAACTTGGCTACAACTGTGTAACAGAACATGGACTTTCTTTGAATTAGATGAGAAACCTTATCAAATGTATATAGTTGTTCATGTTATAGACATACTTTCAAGTTTCTAGCAATAAAAATAAATTTTGCTTTTGATGTCTGTGACAAAGAGGAAATTAATGTGTTGATGTGACAGTTGATTACATATGACATTGCATTTATTTATAGATTATAAAATAAACAATTTCTTGTCAATATTGTTTGTTCATGGATATGTGGTAAAAAAAAATGTTATGCAGGTTTTGTGTGTTTGTGTAGGCGGGGGTCAAGTGTACATTTCTCTCATTTACTTATTTCTCTTTCAGGTATACAATGTCGGTACTGGTGACAGGTGGTGCTGGTTACATTGGGAGCCACACTGTGGTGGAACTTATTAATGCAGGCTACGATGTGGTGATTATTGACAACATGGTCAACTCTTGCAAGGGTAAATAGGTGTCATTTTTATCATCATTTTCACCTGGAAAATTGAACAAAATCCAGTGTTGTCCAATAATTTTTAAAGCAGCACTAGCTATTCATTGAGGTGCTTGTTTATTTCGGATGTTTAAACCCACATGGTGGCCTTTTGAAAAACTTGAATTTTTCATTTGTGGAAAAAAACTTCCTCATAATTATCACTGCCCCTGACTTTCTGCTGCACTAAGATTTTAATATAATTTTTGAAAAATATTTTAAGATATTAAATTGAAAATGAAGTTAAGATTTGAGCGTGGAATTTTACAATTTGAAAGATCTGAACAGAAGCAAATTTAGTATTTCATTTCTGAGATGAATAATTGTCAAAATGAAATGGTTTGAAATACTATAAGCAAATTTTTGTCCAAATTGAAACTTTTTAACAAAAATTTCAAATTGGGTCCAGGAAAATTAATTTCTGTTTCTTTTTTTTTTTTTTCTTCTCAAAGTATAATGGCCGACTCAGGATTTGAGGATAAAGCTTCCTCTGAAATAAAAGGAAAAAAAAACTTTTTATATTGCTTCTCTTTATGTACCAGTATATATTATATGAATTTTGCAAGTTAGTCAGTAAATCATGGTAAGTTTCTTCTCAATGGGTTGTATATTGAGTTTACAGTCTTGGTTTAACCTGTGAAAATTTTACGATTTTCCTATTTTAAAATTTCTGATGAATCTTAATTATTCAGTTAATGATTGAATAAATACATGGCGAGTTTTATGACAATAAAATATCCATAGAAATTCCCCTTTTGCATTGTTAAATATTTAAGCTTAACAATTTTAACAAAATATTGCAATAACAATTATAAATTTGAATGCTGGTCATTATTTTAAGAAGTAAGGAGGTCAACTTTTTCCATTTCACTGAAACAGATGTTAAACACTTCTATCTTCTTTCTTTCATTTTCACACTAAAACCAAGTAGCGTCTTTTGATATGTCTTTTGTCTTCTCACTGATCAAAACAGAATAGTCCATTATTTATGAGGTAGGGGCAAGGTGTAACAGTCATGTAACTAAGGAACTAACAAAGAGAGGGACAAGCACAATTTTTATATGACAATAATAAGCAAAACTCATATTAATCTTTTTTTCAAGAAACTATTTGTTTATTTGTTCTCTTAACACGTCTGGTTGATTAGTCTGTAAGGAAATTTGGACTACTTAAATAAATTGGTCTGATCATAAAAAAATAGGGAATAATTTTTGTAGGTTAACATTCTCTAGACCTTTTCTCAAACTGTAACATTTGTTAGAATTTAATTATTTCTAAAAAGTTTTTTATCAATTTAGGACTGTCCTGTTCATAATATCAAAACATTGTCAAATCAATCCTGACTTTTAAGTTATCTGTACTTAGTTTTTTATTTACAAATGTTGTGACTTGATAATCTGCTTGTCATTGATATCTGATATTTTTTATGGTTTTGTTAATTTATGTAAATTTGTGTTTAAGCACTATAAAGTTGTATACATCTGCTTGTTCTTTAATGACAAAAAACATTTTTCTAAAAAATTTTTTCAAACAATTGCTTGTTTAAAATATTTTCTTAAAATAGAACATAAAAATGTATATCCATTTGTCCTTTATTTAAAAGCAAACCTTTTGTTTAAAAAAAATCAATGACATAAGCAGTTTCAAACTTGACAATTTAGACAAACTGCTCACTTCCGATAACTCTGTAAAAGTTAAGGATTGATTTGATTTAATGTTGTATTGAAATCATAAAGACTCCCTTTCTAAAACTATAAAAAAAAAACAACAATATTTTTCGATTCTTAACTAAGAAAAGAAGAATGCTAATCTACAAAAATGACCCCTCCCTCCGAAAAGTAGTGCCAGAAATCTTTTTATTTTGGACAAAGAAAATTTTTAAGACTATAAATAAGGAGAAACAGATAATGAAGTAATGATATTCTTAAAAACTATTTGAATAGCATCCCTATTAAAGCCCGTATCTGGTGGACTGAAAAGAAAACCGCTTTTTTCACGTCCCACTCTCTACAGGAAATAAAATCTGAGATTTGTTCTCTCAAATTGTAGACTTTAAAATGATTTCTTTCTTTGTGAAGTTCTAAATAATTAACAATTTCTCTTCATTTTGAAAGTAAAATTTTATATCAATTTATATTTTTTTGTTGCTTGTTTTGAGTCCTACATGTTATGCTATTTGTAAATCATTTCTTATCAGGCAAGAAGCTATGTTTTGTTTTTTTTTCTTTCTTTTCTTTTTCCGCTCCTTGTTCATTTCATAGAAAGTATCAAGCGAATGGAAGAAATAACTGGGAAAACCATTCCATGCTTTGAAATTGATCTTTTAAACAAAGAAGCATTAAATGCCATATTCCAAAAGGTTTGTTGCATTTGTCTCTTAAAATCATTCACTTTTTTTATGCGTGTTTTTCTGTGGCTCCATTTCAAGTAACATTCTTTTATTTAGAAGAGAAAATATTTCCTTAAAACTGAAATAATCCAATATTTTGATATAAAGTGTAAATTAAATATTTACTGTCAAATTGGCCAACAACAAAGTAACAGAAATTGTTTCAAGATGGTTATGAATCAAAAGGAGGTTTGACACAAACCGGAACTGGGTCACCCCCTCAGTGATGGTTTCCAATTGTTGAAAGATATGAAATAACAATAGCACCAGAAAACCTATCTAATGATGTGGTGAAAAATATTTCACATTTTTTTTTGTTTTTTGCTCTTATTTTAATTTGACAAAAATAAATAGTATTTAACTTGACTTTGATGGCCTGAACTTTGTTTTTAGTAATTTTGATTATCCATTTGAGTGATATCTCGCTTAGAAATAGTTTAAGAAAATCTATTAATAAAATTTTCAAAATAAAAAAATTTCTACTTCTGCCCATGAAATAAAGATGAAAACTGGAAAAGTTACTTCCCTTTGAAAGCCCCCTTTTTTCAGTTGAATTACGATCACAACTGAAATGTACACACACTTTACAATTTAGTTTAATAAGGCTTTGAAAAAAGTAACCATGTGTTTTCTTTCTTTACTGAGTATAAAAACCTTTCATGATGGCGTTTTCTTTTTTATAGCACAACTTTTCAATTGTTGTACACTTGGCTGGACTAAAAGCAGTTGGTGAATCTTGTGACCTTCCATTGCTTTACTACAAGAACAATGTTGGTAGCACCTTAAATCTTCTTGAGGTAAGTGCTTGACTTTTACAAAATGACACAAAGCAAATTACAGTGTAACCCGTATATAAGAGAGTTGTCGGGACCGGAGAAGAAGTCTCTTATATCCGAGTTTCTCTTATATCCGGGTTTGGTCTATTTTGTTTACATTAACACAGGCTCTAATTTGGGACCAGAGAAAATCTCTCTTATATCTGGGTTTCTTATATCCATGTTACACTGTATTGAGAGGATTTAAAAGAAACCGTTTTTTTGAATTTTCATCAAATTGTTTTTCTCTCCATATTTAATAACCTCTACCAAAATGAATACTTGAAAAAACGTAATGAATTCTGTGACACAGTAATTGTGAGTTCAATCTCTGGGCCCAGTAGTCTGTACTTGGACTCGGTGGAAATGGGCAAATAATAACTGAGCCGTACTAAAAATAGATGAGATATCTCTAGACATGGGTAGTGGAACGAGAACAGTCTACCTTTGTAGATTAAATAAAGTGTTCAGTTTTGAATTACCTGTGGGTCACCTAGATTGATCTGATGAAGTTGTGGAATCTTCCACATTAGCCTTTAACACCCTTCAAAAAATGTATTCTTCTCTGAATAGCCTTTAACCAATCATCATCTCGTTTTTGGAAATCCAATCTTTTTATTGGTTAATAAACACCAAAGTGTAGCAAAATTCCAAATGAATCCTATTTCCCGTCAAGCTCTTTGGAGCCTCAATTCAGACAGCCAGCCACCAAATTTCAACAAGGTGCTACCAAACTCCATGCGTGACAATTCACTGACTCACACACCACATTGAAATCTCAACAAAACATTCATCAACCATTGTCCACGTGTTAACCAACATCTAGTTGACTTGAAAAGTGGAACAATTTCACTACTAAAAAGTAATTGTATATCTCATCAACTTAGACTACACAGACAAAAGCAAGCAATTCTTGATAACATTTATTCTTACTTTTAAATTACACACGTACACACAGATAAATGAACAAACACATATGATTTCTTTCCTTGCAGAAACCAAATCATTTTAATTTTCTTAACAACCAAAAAGTACCAACATTTCTTAACTATATTTCTGCACACATTCTTTATGACATTGTTTCAATTATCACAACAGCAAACATTGTGATTGTCATTGCATGTATATTTTATTGTTGATATAAAAATTTCTTTAATGTTAAATCTTTAACAACAGTGTCTGGTAGTTTCTTGCCATGCAATTTGTTCTTAAATTGTTTGTATAACCAATATTTTGTGGGATACGGACGCTATAAGCATGCATAACCTTCATCTTACTTAATTTTGCCTTCTGATATATTTCACTCCATGTACATCCTGCAACAAAATTGGTAACCCCGACATTAAAGACCGGTGCCAACTTCAGTTTTTTCCCTCCAAAAGGAATCCGTATTAACATGGCCAACTCCGCACCACCAACCCAAGCTACACTCAAAGTATACCTTCCAACTTACAATACCAATGTACAGACGTGGTTCATTCAATTAGATGTCGTCTTTCAAGCAAGACACATTACCTTGCAACAGTTAAAATTTGTGTATGTCGTTGAGGAGCTACCTGCCAACGTGGCATCGGAGGTAGAAGACATCCTCAATAACCGTCCATCAAACAAACCCTATGAGGTATTAAAGCTGGCAATACTGCAGCGGACGTGTTGTTCAGAGAAACAAAATATTAGAACTCCTGACCCTAGTAAACCTTTCCAGCTTCTACGCAGGATGCAGACACTGCTTGGCGCCAACTCAATGTCCGAAGCCATTCTGAAACAAGTGTGGCTGGACAAATTAAGTCCAGACACAGTACAGATTTTAGCAGCGTTGATAGACGATATGGATATTCAGAAGTTAGTGGTGATAGCTGACAAAATCTCAGATACCTGCCCAGCACATCGAATCGCCTCTGTCGTGCCGTTGAATGATCCAACCCCAGATATCAACCAGCAGTTACAAGCCTTAGCCTGTGAAGTGAAGAAACTATCTCTGCGCTTAAATGAAGTTCAGAATACACAAAGCAGAAGCCGTAGCAACTCTGTGAATCAGTACAGTGTTCAACATCGACGTTCTATGTCGTGTGGTTTTTATGAATTCACTTGAATGCCTTTTGGTCTGTGTAATGCAGCGCAGTCTTTCCAACATCTGATTAATGAGGTTCTCAGAGGGTTACCCTTCACTTATGCATACATAGATGATGTGTTAATAGCCAGTAAGAACGCCAAAGAGCACTCCCTTTTATTTCTTTTAATTTTTATTAAATTCAAATGACTTCTATCTTTTTGTGACAAGTTTCTCTGCCATATTCAAATATCATATTTTGTACTAAATCAGGTTTCATGAAAAATCTCTTTAGTTTTATTTTTTTTTTTTTTTAAGTGTCCCTGTTTGTTTTTTAGGTAATGAAAGAAAATGGTGTCTACAACATTGTCTTCTCAAGTTCAGCTACAGTTTATGGTATTCCTCAAGAATTACCCATTAATGAGAGCCACCCACAGGGCAGTTGTACAAATCCTTATGGACAAACTAAATACTTCATTGAAGTTATACTTCATGATCTTTCCAAAACCGACAAGGTAGAATTGATTATAATGCTTTTTTTCTTGACTGAAATGCAGAAAGAAAAAACTTTTTCAATTTTTTCAGTCCTTTTAAAAATTGCTATAAAACATTTTTATTTGCATTTTTTTCTTTATAAAAGCAAAATAATTCATTTAAGGATATTTTTTGCCATTTTCATAAGAATAAGTATTTCAAAGAAGACTTCAGTTTAAAAACTTTACTAAAATTAACAAAATTGCTATAAAATATTTCTGAAAAAATCTAAGCTGAATGCATCATTATCTTATGTCAAACTCCATCTTGTAACCTGAGAATAACTTTGTACATTAAGATGTCCATAGAAAAAGCATACTATTCATGTTAAATGAGTTTCCTGCATAAATTAGAGAATCATATATACAATGTATATCTCAAAATTCTTACACTGTATAGTAAGCTTAGTTGATGACAAGCGATGCAATTCCCTCTCGCCCATTTTTTACACACACACGACTTTGCTTATTAAAATGAACTTTTTCTTCCCAAGATCTGATGACAGCTTGAAAGATATTTAAAATCACACAATTATTTATTTTATATAAGTGAACATTGAAGATGCGACAGACTGTTTCATGCTAAATGCAATCATCAGGCCTGATGATTGTGTCTAATATGAAACAGCCTGTCGCTTCTGAGTGTTGACGTCAATGTTCACTTTTATATTTATGTACACTCTATCTCTGATATTGAGCACTTTATCCCATAAATATAGCATATCTTAAAAGCATATTTCTTTTTCTTTATATAATTTGTTGCAGAATAAAATGTTTACTGTATTTTCTTGTATATAAGACAACCCCATGTTTCTGAAGCTAAAAACTGAATAAGTTATATCCTTAAGTACAATAGAACCCTGTAGTACAGCCATTCCTATGTACATTTCTTTTTTTTCTCTCTAAAAGTTGTATAATATTATCCATTAAAATCTCAATGTCATATCCATATAAACTGTAATATTAAAAATTACAAGTACCAGTGTACAGTCTTTAACAATATAATTATGTCTGGATCATTTGCATATCTATCTTGTATTGTTTTATTTTTCTTAAATTGTTTGAAGTTTTCAAATTGGAAACTTTGTGTCCAGAAAAAAAACTCATAAGTATATAATTTATACAATTTTTAGGCCTTTGTTTCAACATTAATGTTATCAAAACATGAAGGATCTTGTGTATTCCCTTTTTATTAATTTTTTAAATCAATTTCAGTGAATTTCCTGTCTTTAAGATAAAAGATATTCAATTTCAAAAGAACAAATATTACCAACATATCAAATACCATTAGTAAACAATTGTTATCAACACCAGCCTACATTGTGTCTTATTGTCTGTAGTGAATAAGTGTATTTACAATCTTGTTGTTTCATTTTTTTTTTTTTAAAGCAAGTAAAAATTTCAGAAAATGTCTGTGTATAATATAAAGCCACCCCCCCCTCACCCACTTTTAATTTCTATTCAAAATTTCTTGTATTGTGCACAAAATAACATTTGCCTTGATAAAATCCATCAGTGGACGAAATGCACCTGTAAAGAAAAATTTAACTTTTGTCTTTATGAAATCTATTATTGCTGTTTTGAACACTCTTCCACAAACTTTCATCCTGGTTAAGATGTTAAACTACATCCGCATCTTGCGTAAGATGTTAAACTACGTCCAGCAGCAAGGCCTCTGATCAGTAGGTTTTGAGGAGTGTGGAACTACCTCATAATTGCTGTTAGGGTCCCAGCTATGGGCAAATAGTTAACTATTACCAGCAATATTTTTTTGAAAAAAATTATTACCAGCAATACAATATTGAAGGAAATATATTATCAGAAACAGATTTTCGACAAAACAAAATATTACCAGCAATAAAAATTGTTGGCATTAAATAACTTATTGAGGTTGATATGACGTAAAACAAAATAAACCAAACCAATCTAAACCAAAGAATACATACTCTATTCATACGAATCTATCCTAAAAATGTTGTCGGCATTAAATAACCCATTGAGGTTGATATGCCTTAAAACAAAATAAACCAAACCTCCACAAACTTTCTAAAAATCTTGCTGATTGGCCAAACATATTGGTAGTTATGAAGATGATGATTAACTCTAAGTTAAATGCAAAGTAAATACATCTGTTATAGCTTTGCTGTCATTTGGTTTTTATTTCAGAATGAAGATAAAACTATTGAATGTTTTTACATTATATATATGTGGTCAGTTCTTATGGAATTGTCAATGCCACAGCAACAAACAAATTTAAGATTAAAATATTTTTGTGATGGCATGCCAGTGAAATATCAGGTATTCCTGGGCAATTAATATTAACATCTACAAATTGTCTTTAGTCATTATCTATTTTGTCAGTGTAAGAATTCTTAAGACATTAACTACAAGTTATCTTGTTTTTGTGGTCTTTCCATCAATGATACAATTACAAGGTTTTTTTTTTTTTCATGCAAATAACTGGCATCCAAGGCAGGAATGAAAAATTGTATTGGCAACTAAAAACAGATTTTTTTTTTTTTTTTTTTTTTATGGGAAAACCTATTGAAAATATAACACATAATAAACAAAGTATTTGAAAACATTTTTATTGTATAAGTTAGTTATTATAAAGTTGGTGTTTGTTGAATTTGTAATTGACCTGGCAGTCAACATGTTAAAAGAAATTCCTTAGATATTTTTTTTCGATTGTTCTGAAACAGTTAAAATTGTAACTTACTTTTATTTTCCAGGTCCAATTGTGTGTGCTGCCTTCATTTTGTATTTTCTCAATATTTCCTTACTTTTTTTTCTCTCTCCACACATCTTAAGAAATGGAATATGATCTTGCTTCGATATTTCAACCCTGTTGGTGCCCACAAATCTGGAAAAATTGGCGAGGATCCAAATGGAATCCCTAACAACCTGATGCCATTTGTGGCTCAAGTAGCAATTGGGAGACGCAGTGAATTAAAAGTATTTGGAAATGATTATGATACTCCAGATGGCACAGGTGAGAAAAATTTTGGTTTTGGCTTCAGTAGTTGAATCCCAAATAATTTTTATCAGATTTGGGCTGATTATTTCTTTAGCTGTTCAGCAGCACATTTGCATTTTCTCAATTTGTGTATAGCCTTCTAAGAATGGGTTTATATGCTAGCTTACTGTGTTTTTTTAGTGTTTTGGAAAACATATTAATCTTAATTTATTTAAACTGCCTCAATCATTTAAGGGATTTTTTTTTCCCAAATAGTCTACCATAGATGTCAAAAAGTGAACACACATACACTCATGAGATAAACTAAAATTAGATAAAATATAATTTAATCTTAATGTCTGTGTTATTAATAAGATTGGAGAAGATTCTGATGTATATGGAATAAAGTGTTCACTATAAAGACTCAAATATGTGTATGAAAATTTTTTAAAAAAAATGTGTATCCTCACCCCAAGCAAGGCAGTATAGCCACTAAGACAGAAGAGGTTACAGGGTGTGGAAGAATTAAGAACAGAAATATTAATAATGAGCAGAAAGAGTAATCAGGACAATAGATAGTGATTGACATTGCATTTAAATTTTTGCAGGTTAAAGTTTTCTAGAAAACACAGCGCCAAAAATGTGAGAAAAGAAGCTATTAGCATAGAAGTTATGGTTACATCTAGCCAGCTCAATTGCAAATTGATGAGATCTCACTGTGACAGAGAATTTTGGGAAACACACACACACACACACACACACACACATTTATTTATTTTATTTTTTTTAGTGAAATTGGGATAGATTTGAATAGTGCAATTAAGTCAGAGCATTTTGTTTACTGATGTGGAAATTTGATCTAGGCCAGAAGTTGTACCCATTGAATCTGGATCATCAGAGACAATGGAAATGGCCGAAATAATTTTTATTGATTAAAAATTGAAATAGAGCTGAGTAAGCTAGAAGGAACTTTTGAATTCACATGATTTTGGTTGAAACAGTCAAAACCCTGTGATAATCACATGCGAAGCAGTAGGGCTAAGGTTCAGTTGTAACCAGCCAGATTTTTCTATATCAACGCGTAGTTATGCTGAAAAAGACAGACGGGAGAAAATTCTTGAAGAGAGACGAGGGCAGATGGAAGAGAGACAGAAGAGAATTAGCCTGGGCAAGAATTGGGCTAGAGACAGTGGAGAGTCGAGTTGGAGAGAACGTGACGTCAGAGATTGGAAGGAAGCGTCCACTAACATGTATTGTTGATATAAGTACCGCTGCTTCTGCTACCACAAATATTACTACTGCTAAGGAGGAATACCACTATAAACTTTAAGCCGCACACAGAAGTCTTATTCCCCATCGCAAGAGTCGTATATCGTTCTGAGACGATTTAACAAGTTAATCATAACACACTCTCTCTCTCTGTCCAGAATCCGGTGTATGCGTTTTTATTGTTTGTCTGGCTTTCTGTAGATATTTTTTTTTTTTTTTTTTTTTACTGCATTCTAAATTTCTTAGCGCAGACTCTCCATCTGCGTCTACATCTTCAGTTGACTGTGAATGGATGAACATCACTTCTGCTTTCTGGATCAAACCAAACACAACGTGCACAGGAAGCAGGATTAAACCAGTGGACCGGTCGAATAATCCACAGATGCTCAGGGGACCTACGGCCACTACCTTAAGTTTGGTTAGGACCAAGTAGACACCTCAACCCAAAGAGTAAGAAGTCAGAGGTTGAGGGGCTGGGGCAAAAGTGTTAGATCACTGCTAATCTAGTATTGTGTTTAAATTCATATAGTCTAGGTACCATAGCTAAGAGCTCATGTGGACAATTACCATGAAAGTATTTATAAAAAAGGTAGAGAGGCCACCTTATGGTGGTGTGCAAGTGACTGAAGCAAGCCACCAGATCAGAACCTATAATATAGCTGATTCTCTGTTGGATTTTATCAAGGAGCTCCAGGTAAATAGCAGGGGCACTGGACCATATATGGCAGCAATATTCTAAGCATGGATGAATGGTAGAAACTCTAAAACATTGCAGTGCAATAATTTGCACAACAAAATCTTTTAGTGATAAACACTCAGATTTTACTATTTTCCTGCAGAGAAAGATTATTGAAAACCTTTGGAAAAATATTCAACTCTGATGACACTGACTCATTTCAAAACTTTCCACCATCTGTTTACATTTACTGTTATTGTAGGTTTGATAATGTTTTTTTTTCTTTTCTTCCCTTCCTAGGTGTCAGAGATTACATCCATGTTGTTGATTTAGCTTTGGGCCATGTAGCTGCAGTGAATAAAGTGGAAGAAAATTGTGGATATAAAGTAAGTTTAAAAGGTTTTTACCTGAGTAGCTAAAGTTTAAAAAAAAAAAAAAAAAAGCATTTGGGATGTAAGTACCAAATTGAAACCTTATTTAGTGGAAGGGATATTTAAAGTTATCAAAATAAAATGTCCTACTCGATAAGCGAGTGTGAAGCTATGTTATCCTAAAGCCTGCTTTTTTTATTTTCTTCTTGCAAAAGCTGCTTTAGTTTATTTATTGGCAATCCATTTTTAAATTATTTGACTGACCCATCTTTGTTTATTGTCATTACTCGGAATATATTGATTTTATTTGAGATTTTTACAGGTGCAACTTTATTCTCAAGGTGAATAAATCTCAAACTTTTTGATTGATTTCCATTTTGGATGTAGATTAAATAATCATTGCCTCAAAAGTTGAAATTGGTTTTCACTTTTTTTTCCTTTCCCCTTCTTTAGGTGTATAATTTGGGTACTGGGTGTGGCTATTCTGTGCTTGATATGATCAAAGCTTTTGAAAAGGCTAGTGGCAAATCTGTAAGTAGATTGTACCATCTGTTTCCTTATTCTTTACATAACCTTCAACTTTTGGTTTCAAACAGATTTTTTTTTCTCTCCTCACTCTCCTTATTTCAGATTCCTTATAAAGTGGTAGATCGCCGTGCAGGAGACATAGCTTCTTGTTATTCAGATGCCTCTTTGGCTGCGAAAGAGATGGGCTGGAAAGCAAAATATGGGCTGGATGAGATGTGTAAGTAATTCCTCTACCCCCCCCTTCATGCTCTATACTAAATAAGTCTTTGATTGTAACTGAAGCAAAAAAATGTAGAGATTTTTTTTTTTTTTTTTTTTTATAATTCAAAGTGATTTTATTTTTTTACATTAAGCTGAATAACAATTTTATTTTCAAATATGGTAATTTTTTTTTTTTTAAACCTTATGTATCTTTTCTTTTTAAATTATAGGTCAAGATTTATGGAATTGGCAGTCAAAAAACCCATATGGTTACAAAAAGAAGGAAAATGAAGATTGAAAATGTATGCCCTGATTCTGTGTGAGTGAGAGGAATCGATTGCATCGTTGAGTTTCCAAAGAGTACATTTGAATGTTTTTGTTTTTTTGCTATGGAATTAGGCTCTTTGAAAATTCAATGTGGCTGTGGTTGTTAAATTCATGTAACAATCCTCATCTCATCACAAATTATCACATACCCTTCCAGACAAAAGGAATTGGAATTCAGTTTTGAGAATAATTGGTAATAGTTCTCTTGCCAGTAATTAATTACAAGACACTTGGTCATTAAATCCTTTATGTGACAGTAATTCAGTAAGTCAAAAATTATTTTAGCAGAGGGGTATAATTGTTGCACATAGAAGCAAATTTCTCTTCCAAATAATTGACTATAAATCAAAATTATCCACTTCAGTGGAGGAGGGGTCACAACCTTAGTGCTTTACCACATTTCAACTGAGCAAAAGTAAATATCTAGTGTTTTCTCTGAAAGTCTGAACACAGAAATATTTTTTTTTTTTAAAGAGCCATTGTTCATTTTTCTCCTCTTCCATAAGATAAAATGCAGTAGGTGTTTATAGACTTTGTAATCATTTGAAGACAGCCACCCCCCCTCCTGGTCATTCATGCAACTTTTTGGATTCTCTTTTCCTTTTGCAGTTGTCTATTGGTCATTTGCTCTGTGATAATATTACAATCAGAACCAGGGGTTAAACTCCACTGGATTTTAAAGATGTATATATTTTAAGACATGTCTCATTGAATAATTTAGACAAGTTTTGTCTACTTATTTTTAATAGGATCCCCCTCATAATTACAGACAAGTTTCTTAGTATCCTTATTAAAAAGGAAGAAAAAATTATAATAAAACCTAATAAATCATGGCAAAATTAAATTCATTTACAAAACAGATTTTCTACAGTGAACAAAAAATTATAAAATAAACTCTTAAGAATTTCCCTAATTATATTGTTGATGAACAAATAAGATGTATTAGTAATTTTAATACAAAGCATATAGAATATAATACTTCAATTAACCATAAACATATTAATCTTTTATATTGCAATCAAATACATCCTAATTATAAACAAGACAAAAAATGCCTTAAAACAAAAAAACTAAATACAAATATATCCACCACAGATCCTCGTAAAAAAAAAAAATTATATAGTATACTAAAATCAATATATCCAATTTAATTATTTGTAATGACTCCTCCCCATCAACTAATGTTATAGAAAACCAACATTGTATATAAATTTAAATGTCCCTTGGCAGATCGTATCTTCAACAGAAAAAATAATATATATATATATATATCTTCAATAGAAAAATAATATATATATATATATATATATATTTTGGTCATACTACTACTACGTTGTCTTGATGGCTGAGTTTTCATTTGAATAATGCATCTAAACATATCACAGCATGCCTGTCCACATTTGCAATTTAGAAAAAAATTCTTGTTGGAGATACATCTATATGTTTATTATTTTCATGAAAAATTAAACTAAAAATACTGTACAAATGTTATAAAATGTTTAGAGGATAGCTTAAAGAAAACATGGATATTTCAAACATAGTTACCTCCCCTGATGTTTCAAACGTGAAATTTAAACTGTACAGTACATAACCTTAGTGTTTTTCACTTCAGTTAAAAAAAAAAAAAAAACAACACTGTGATGGTGACATTTGTGCTAATGTCGGAAGTATTGGAATAAATGAATGTGTATCAATGTGGTAATTTTCTCTCTTCCTTTAACAAGGATACTAAGAAGCTTGTCTGTGAATATGAGGATCCTATTGAAAATAAGACAAAACTTGTCTAAATTATTCAATGAGACGTATCTTAATGAAAACATGCTGCCAAAATATACACTGTATTTCAGTGGCCATCATTACTTATAAATATTTCAGTTCAGATTTCTTTTGAGAGGAAAAAGTTATTTTCATTAGGTAATTTTTTATTTTATCTGTTAAATAACAAATGTCACCCCCCCACTCATACACACCCCAAAAGGCAAAGAAAAACATCCTGAAAGGAAAACACACCTGTCAATCAGTATTGAAATAAATAGTATTATTTAAAAAATAAACAAGGAAAGATAATGTTGGGTGCCATTTTGTTCAGTATTATTTTCTGAATTACTCAGTTACCACAGCTTTATAATGGTGATATCCCTTCCTTCCCAACACACACTTCTTCCATCTACTCAGGGGTCCATTGACTTGTCACAGGTGCATATCCCTTTCCTTTACTTGTGCAATTTTCTATCATTATATATGAGTTGAATTTCTGGATTTGTTTATTCTTCTTCCCCTACAGAAATCATGGCAGCTCCTAAAATTGATTCTCAGCATAATCTCATCACCATTCATTTCAACATTTTAGAAATGAGAGAACAAGTATTTGGTTATGCATCGGTTAATTATCACGTGCTATATTTCCCTTCTTTTTTGAAGTGCCTGTATTTGAGAGAACAGAGTTCTGAAAATGTTTCATACCGCTTCTTCCTGTCCATAAATTAATAATCATTCCTTTACAGAGTTACTGAAAACTGCTACTCTTATTCACTAAGAAAATCTTAAAAAAAAAAAAAAAAAATAAATTTTTTTTCTTAAAAAAATTTTGAAGAGAAAGTCCAGAGAGGTATGAATTTTTGGATTTTTATTTGTTTTCAATGGTTTAAAGTTGAAAATGTACACTTTACATTGTATCATTTTCTAATTTGTGGGTCAATAAAGAAATCAACCTAGTTTGTTTTGCTTTTTCTTGTGGGTTCAACAAAACTATTGTTTCTTTAAAATGTTCAAGTCACTACAACCTCAAATGTCCAATTTCTACTTTAATGGAAAAAATTTTTTGTTAAATATTTTTTTTTGTCAGTTTTTTCTCTAATGGCTGATTTCTCTCACCTTCTCATGGTGACAGCTTTTGTCATTTTTCTTTGTGTATATTTAAGCTACTGAACAGTTAATCAGAAAACAAATGTATTTTGCCAACTTGTTCATAAATTCTGAGTTACTTTTGTAAAAGAAAAATAAATTTCAGTTGTCACTTACCAAAAGATCGTTCTGGTCAAGCTAAATGCTTCATTTAAAGGAGGTGAGAGTTTAAGTAATGAAACTGATTCAATATATATATATATATATATATATATATATACACACACACACTCTTAATGTGTTGTAAGGTTGAAAATTAAGATGGATGAGCTTTACATTTATCTTAAAGGTAAAAAAACATCAGAAGTCAAGTATAAATAAGGAGTGAACAAATATGACTTAAGTCAATTCTGATCTAGTGGGCCTTAATTTTTTCACACTATTGCCCATTGTACAAGCAGTAAGTCTTATGAAATAGACATTAGCTGTAGAGACAAACCATGAACTATATACTTGAGCTAAACTGAAACTCTTTTTTGGTCTTTGTTAGCAGATAACTCTATACAAACAACCAGTAAATGACTTTCTAGCTCCTTAAGAGCTGTTACTTAATACAAAAGAATCTTGAGATTTCATATCATTCTACTTTGCCTCCCTACTTTGGTAACACTCATTAGTATCATTCAGGCCAGCAAGCAAAAGGTGTGACAAAAAAATTAAAGAGAGCCATTAAATTGACTTAAATTTATTGAGGATAGTATTTTTAATGAATAACTTTGTCATAAAAAAAGTAGTAGTCATGACGCATCTGAAAGAATTTATTTTTTTTGTCTAAGTAAAAGCCTTTTCAAAGTACTTACCATTGCAGATTAGTTGTGTTGCATTGACAAGTTTGTAAAGAGTTTGTTATGTGAACAACAGATTAATTAGGTTTCAAAGATCCCCCCCTCAATTTTAGATATGTCAATAGAAATTTGCAGAAGTACTCGACAAGTATCTGTATTATCAATTTAACTTTGCTTTTTAATTCAATCATGAAAGAATTGGCAAACTTTACTATAAAAAGGAATGAACAGGAAATCATAATGCTTATTCACCTTTAAAAGAAAAACTTTGTACAGAAAGATGAAGATAACGAGTAAAAAGCAAATAATTTTCCCAGTTTTAGTCCTCACCCACTAATTGCAACATAAGATATTTTTGCTGGCCTATCACACTGGCCATATCTTTGTTTAACCTACAAATCAATTTAAGGAAACGCTCATAGAAAGGTCACCATAAAACAAAAGTGCAATAGTTTTCATTTTCTTCTTTTAAAAAAGTATTTTTTTTTTGTTTTTAGCCACATGGAACAATTGAATTACTTTTTCTAGAAAACAAAGTATGCATATTTGTCAAGTGTTTATTCTTCAGATGTAAATTAGTAAACTAAAGAATTCTGAATATTATTCTATTGATATGTCATATCACAAAGGACTCATCAAATCGGAACCTAAAAAAATAAAGTCAATAATTCTTTCCAATTTCTAGTTAGTTTTAATAAATATTAGAACACAATGAAGTGAAATTGATTGTAGTTCATTCAAAACTATAGATATTGTTCTCTCTCACCGAAACTGAAGGCAAAAAAAAAAGAAATCTCATTTCTCTTAAGCATTTACCAGTAATAAGAAATGTGATTAAAATATAGGAGTTAAAAAAAAACTATATGTTCTATTATAGGAAACTGGCTACTGTTGCTAAGTTAGTGATGTTTACATTATCTACATACTGAAAATAGCTTTAAGATTTTGTGCAAGATAAAGTAATTTTAAAACCTTGATCACACTTTATTGGATTCTATAAGATATGACCATTGAAATAAAGTTTCAAATGTGTAACAGATTTTTTTTTTTTTAACCTGGTTTTTCAAGATCTAGAAATACTAAGCCTAAATAACTGATTGGTTATGTGTTAAAAATAATGTTCTAATATTTAACATGCAGAAAAGCTGGTACATGTAGATCATTATTTTGAGCTTGTTCAAATAAGAAACAAATAACACAAAGAGAATTGTAGAAACTATTGTATTGCTTTTATTGAAGGGTTGACACCATTCATTCATTCATCCATCCATCCATATTTGTC